CAATATAGAATAAAGATAAATTTAAAAACGTAAAAAAGTAGGTGAAATAACTTACTGACGTTTCGGACGTTATTTTACCGTTAATCCTCCGACGAAAGTTATTTGACCTACTTTTTTACGGTATTAAATTTATCTTTTTACAAAATTTTTTGATTACAATATACCCAAAGACGACACCAATGAGTTGGCCTATGATAGCAATGATTAAAATACTCGCAAAAATGATACTGATGATTATGACAGCACTGATTGCAGTATACGCAATAATGCTACCGATAATTCATAACCCTTTATTATCGATAGGTGTGGTCGTTAACACCTTACGTCTAAATGCTGACATTTTAATTTGAAGGTCTTTTGGCCTTCGGGTGCTTGTTGTTTGTTATTGTTGATCAACTCGGTGTACACGATTACCCTATACTTACATAGAGTTATAATGTAAATCAAGATACCGATTAGCCAAAATATGTCGTGGTAGGCAGCGAAAATAAAGTAAAACTAAAAGGAACGATGACTTAAGGGAAATGGTCGTTGGCATTAGCTTGATCAACGGTATCATCCTGCGTATATTGTCATCATTGCTATCAAAGGGCTAATCATTGGCATCATCATTGCGTATATTGTCATCATTGCTATCAAAGGCCTAATCATTGGCATCATCATTGCGTATATTGTCATCATTGCTATCATAGGCCTAATCATCGGCATCATCATTGCGTATGCTTTTATCATTATAATGAAAGGCCTAATCATCGATATCGTCATTGCGTATATTATAATCATTGCTATCATAGGGTTATTAACCGAGCGCCGTAGGCCGAGGTCCGTACATAAGAGACCGAGGTCCGATATATTTCCGTACAGACCGAGCAAACGAGGTTAATAACACTTTTATTATATGACTTTTTTCTACATCGGAAAAGCAAACTGTAAACAGCGCGCGAATATCGATTGGACTATCGATTGCTCCAACTGAAGCAAGCAAAGCACATGTAATCAAATTGTCAAAAATGTGTGTTTTTTACACCAGAAAACAGATATTTCTGTTATAAAAACAATTCTAAAATGAATTGCCATCAATGTCACAGAAGAACAATCATTTAAATGTCTCGAAAGATACTTATTTCGTAGAAAAACAACAATCGTGGGTCTTTCATCTAGTTAAAGCACAACGAAAACAAACAAGTCAGTAAGCTTTATCTACTTTATCTACAATCAAATCGTTTTCAATCTTCATCGTCGCTTTCAGCGATAGCATTTCGACGCCTTTTCCCTTGTTGAACCGTCACTGGACCTTTGGAAATCTTGAAGTTACATTATTAAGTGATGCTGCGAATTTCTAACCTGGGTTTTATTAGTATAGTCACGAAGCG